ATCACATCGACTGGTCCTCATTTTCGTTGCCTCTTTATGTCAAAGGGGGCGAGGGGTAACCCCTCAATTTCTTTTTATACATTTCAGATCACTATTTAAACTAACTGGTTCCAGATCAATATTTTTCCAAATAAGAATCAGATCACTATACATTAAAACGAATTCAGATCACTATTTATACCAATCGGATTCAGATCACTATTATAAAAATTGAATTCAGATTATTATTAGTACTAAATGGATTCTGACCCCTGTTTATACAAATCGGGTTCAGATTACTATTTATCCAAATATGATGCATGTATCTATTCATATTAATAATAAACGAATCGGGCCGAGATCGATATTTATCCAATCAGTTTTCAGGTCAATACTCATATAAATCGGATTCTGATCCCTATTTGTACAAATGGGATTCTGATCACTATTCATACAATTCGGATTCAGATCACTATTTGTACAAATCGGATTCTCTGCACTGTATATTCATGTTGGATTCAGGTCACTATTTATACAAATCTGATTCAGGTCACTAATATAAAATGGATTCAGATCAGTATTCATACGAATCTGATTCAGATTAGTACTGATACAAATCAAATTCAGATAACCATTTAGACGAATCGGATTCCAATCAATTATTCATACGAATCGGATTCAGACAAATTATACAATATATACACAAATCGGATTTAGATCACTATTCATACAAATAGGATTCAGATCACTATTTGTGCAAATCGGATTCTGATCTCTATTTATACAAGTCAAGATTCACATCACTATTTGTACAAATCGGATTCAATGAGTTTTCCTTAAGTCGTGATCTCCATAACGTATATGTGATTCGTTTGCTTGGGTCAAGACTGAGAACGTGTTTTGCCAATGCTGCAGATTAAATTGATCTTTTACAAGCGCTTCACGAAGACACCGATCACTGTCATCAAATCGTTCGGTAAAGACGCGCAAAGCTGTTTGTTAAACACGCACCATCAGTTGACGCTAAATCGAGGTATTATTTGAAATAATGATGAACTGTATATTTAATTATTGTTCATCATTGCTCTAATGGTGAAAGTTGGCGAATAATAGGCATGGTCAATGCAAGAATGTCTAACAAAGCTCTTGCATTGGTCGCATTTCCGCTAAGAAGACATTGGCACAGGTACATCTGCAAACTAACACGGTCAAGGACCATCTGAACGGCATCGTGTGACTGCAGTACGTAAAAGACCATGGAGCAGTATTTCCCAAAGTTGCTTACCTTAGCAAATGAACGTTTTATCCGGCGGCCATATGAACAACGTTTGGCGTTTTCACGTTTCATACCGAGGGGTGACAAACGGCTGCGGGAACAGCGCCGGCCGTATCCTGGCTTGTAGGGGGCTGTGCTGAGTTGCACCTGAAGTGCGTGCCGGCGCTGTTCCACAAGCCGTTTGTCACCCCTCGGTATGAATCGAGAAAATAAAACAATGTTACATGATAGTTTCTTAAACAAATTTTTCTGTGATTGATCATAAAACGTCAGATTTCAGATCCTGTTGGGTAGGGAGGTTTCAGGGCCATGTGTCTTATTTATGTTCTGTGCACTTATCCCTATTTCGAGTCCCTATTTTAATCATTCATCGTTCTCATTTGTACCTAAACGGACTGCACGTATCATCTTGCTGTCAGATTTACACAGGTTCAAAGGGGTGCAAAAATAATATACATTCATCTCTGCATTTACATGTGTTTCACAGGTCTGTGAATCTAACCATTGTTTTCATGTGTTTTCTAGCACGCGTAACAAACATAAAAGCTGTGAATGAAGGACATGGATTTCAATCGATACCCTTGAAATCTCGTATGACTAGGGTTAGTTTGATATATATTGCATACTCGCGTAAATATGTGGTAATGGGTAGCTAATGGCACACTAGTTTAACACGTATTTCAATGGTTCGATAATATAGCTGTCACATCGGGTTCGTCAGCGTGTCCGACCACGGCATAATGTACTGAGATAATTAGAACACATGTCGAAGTGATACCCACGACTGAGCACCTACTATTTAAAGCCGTGCTATTAACGTGTTTGCATCCTGGCGTTTCGGCGGTTCTTTGTTTAGTTTCTATACGTCAACAACGGTAGACTGCTCTGTGTCAAGTTTTCTTGTGACTTTACTTCGGCATCTTCTCATCCCGTGAAGATAGAAATAGAACTACCACATGCCATTGCCTTGTCAGAGGAGACTTGACACCGCTTGAAGTAGCATGTCGGAGTGACAGATTTAAAGCATGGCATTCTCATCATGGCGATGGGCGCGTGACAACGGCATAATGATGTACACCGTAACAACGCTTTAATGAAAGAAGTTGTTACCATACGTTATGTCCAATTTGTTATCCTTCAACTTCCAGGCGCTTTCGGCATCACTGCTGTGAAGGAAATATTGCAACACCTTATATACTTCTTGTCAGGTCCATTTTTCTCATCAAAATGTGAATCAACAAGTGTTTGCCACTGATATGGCAATGTCCCCCGCCACTAAAGAATGGAATATCTATATTTACTACTTTTAATTTTTTGGTCACATACAAGATGCCTGAAATGACTGGTGTCTGCATAATCACCAAATGTAGGCTGTCAACATAATTGAAAACATTGGGTGCAATGTTTTATGAGATATCGCGTTTAAATAAGTTTGAAAAGCAGTCAAAGTGTCATGGTGACCTTGAAGATAAGGTCAAGGTCACCCAAATACAGGTGTCTGCGTAATCCTCCAATGTAGGCTGTCACCAAATTTGAAGACATTGGGTACAACAGTCCTTTAGATGTCGCGTTAACAAGAGTTCGAAAAGAGTTCTAAGGGTCATGGTGACCTTGAAGATAAGGTCAAGGTCACCCCAATCGACTGGTGTCTGCGTAAACCCCCAATGTAGGCTGTCACCAAATTTGAAGACATTAGGTACAACAATGCATGAGCTATCGCATGCAAGAATCGGGACGTACGGACGGACGGACGGACGTACGGACGGACGTACGGACGGACGCCGCTGAATACATAGACAATAAGAATGTCTCTTTCAATAAAATGTATAACAGCACACATTTTCTTTTTTGGACGTGTCTTGAGCTTAAGAAGGATGGCTAACGTCATAACAACAGACAGGTTCATATAAACGTTTTGCATTGTTCTAAATTAAATAAGAACCGACAATGAGACGAAATGGAATAGAAACCACTGCTAGAGGGTGTGTAACAGATGGAGTCATCTCACCTCTTACAAGTCGTGGTGTTAGCCAGATCATATTTCAAACGTATAGTGCTGGTAAATACTTTGGCTGCCTAGACTCATCATATTGACACAGTAATGTTGGGCATGTGACTTCGCTATTGTTGACAATAACAAACCTCGTCAGTTAATCAAATACCTGGGTTTGATTTTCCACATGGGTGCTATGCATGACGTCTTTTTCTGGTGCCCCCCGCCGTGATATGGCTGGAATACTGCACTCACTCACTCACTCATATTCAAATGCAGACACATATATCAAGTGCAGCCTCCTACCACTTTGGGTTACAACTTCCATTTCATCATGAATATTGTCCCAGCATATACTAAAAGTGATCCAAGTGAGGAAAAGAACCCGCTGAATGTCCTTTGCATTGTGTTGGGTCAGTGCACGATGTTGTTACTGGGCGAATGCATGGAACGAGATGGAGGAAACAATTGGAGTAAATCAGTTTTGTCTTAGCCAGCTATCGTCCGAAGTCTCTCTGCCCCACATGAAGATATACAGTTTGTAGCTGTTCCCACAGTCAGCCTCCAATAACATCGATATGATATGTCAGCACATTACATTACATCTTGCATCAAGAGGGAGTGAGTTTAGTTTTACGCCGCTTTTAGCAATATTCCAGCAATATCACGGCGGTTGCATCAGGAAACTGTAATATAAGTAAAATATGATGCTATAATAACGTCGTTTTAGATATCTGAGAAAGAAATCTAGCAAAACCAAGCATTAGTACCAGCGACGAATCGTATACATATTTCTTGATCCATGGGGCATATATTATAAGTTGTTCACTGGTCTCGAGGGGGACGTGGACTGATGTACCCTCGATGTTTGTTTATGTTCCCTGAGCCCTCGAAACATCGAGGTTACATCAACCCATGGGCCCCGAGGGACCATTGAACAACGTATTTATCTTACCGGACACTTCAATGGTAAGTCTGAACTGTTTGAAGCACTCGCATCGGATCATAGTGTGGAGTACCAGACGACAAAACCACAAGAAAAACAGATTTAGAGTTATCTCCCTTCCATCGATTTGCATTCGCAAAACATTCCGTACATCATACGTGATGCAATGTTATTCGAGATAAAGACTTACTACCACGAGTACCAAATGAGTTCGGCATTCTCAGCGGGGTTCATGGAAAATGTTACTCGCTTGTAAGCGTGGTACATTGAAAATAATAGAAGAGCGCTCAGCCAATCAGAAAACGACATTTATGTGTGAGGCAAGATAATACAACATGTAGTGGCCATGGCCTAGAGACAATTCTTCGAAAATGAAAGCAAAATTAATGCAATCTGAAACACTTTGTAAAATGTTGAATTTCCTTATTTATCTACGTAAAATAAGAGAGTAAGACATTCAGGGAGGATGTTTGGATTGATGCATAATATATATATATTATAGATATATGGGTGTTTGTGCCTACACATTCGGCACACTGCAGTGTTACAAGGCACCATGAGGAGTAAGACGTATAGATAGGTGTTCATCAGCTGCCTGTCTGGAAAGATGAGTATGAATTTCAACGCCATGCGTCACTGCTTCTTGAAGTTTAATTAATATATAGGAGGCAGCTGGTACGTTACCCTGTATGGCGTTAACGTTTGCATAAGTATATGTTGTTTGTGTACACTGATTCACTTCTCCAGCATAGCGTAATGGCAGGATGGAAAACGTTAGTAAATCAGAACCTGTTCTGAATTACAAGATGGACGAGGCTGAAGAACATTTACCTCCATCAGAGGGAAACGGAGTGCTTAATTGGCCTAAACACTCCACTGCATCTTCTAAGGTATCACATGAAAACTCACCCTTGCTGGACTCCCTAGGAAACATCCAGTGCTACAAGCGACGGTGGTATGTCTTGGTGGTGTTCTCCTACGCTGCGCTTCTTCAGACAGCCACGTGGAACACATTCGGACCTATTGCTCAGTCAGTTAAGGCCGTGTTCGGGTGGTCGGATGCCAATATAGGCATGTTGAACAACTGGGGAATATTGTGTACGTTGTGTCTATGTTTCCAGTCGCCTGGTTGATGGATGTCAAAGGTAGGGTATTTTCTTTGTCCGCCTTCATGAAATTAAAAGTTTCAGTAGGAGTGAGTGAGTGAGTGAGTTTGGTTTTACGCCGCTTTTAGCACAATTCCAGCAATATCACGGCGGGGACACCAGAAATGGGCTTCACACATTGTACCCATGTGCGGAATCGAACCTACCGCCCAATTTCAGTAGGAACGCAGTACTTTAGTACTTTCAGTGGTTCATACTGACACTTTTAATTTCATGTGTCTCATATCTGTGTCGACTGGTATGCAGAGCCTATGCCAATGGTTCATATTCAATATGACACACACAGTCTCACTCACACACACACACACACACACACACACACACACATTCACTCAACGACACAGACACAGGCAGACAGACATATACACACTCTCACACACAAAGACACCTCGTCTGGAGGATGACAGCTCTTTATTGAATGCAGTAATTGCTATTTGTTGCTCTTGTATTGGCCATTAAACTACTTGATCCAAATGTCGTTTTGGATTTGGATTTGGGAAAATGTAAGACGATGTACATCTATATATTTAAGGCCTATTTATCGTACTCTAGGACTGAGGACATCCATGTTGTTGTGCGCTGTGACGATGGTGTTGATGACGGCCATACGATGCATCACGAGTGAACCCGTATCAGCGACATGGTCAGTACCAGATGGGGTGACAATAACTGTAGCACAAACATCGTTGTGCCGAATGTTGGTTTGTTGACCACACGGATGTCTCGAAGTAAACGAATGGTCCATGCATAGTCACGGGCCTCCTTTCACAAATCACTAAGATGATCGTAAGTCACTAAGGTAACCTTAGTGCAATGTTTAAGAATGGGAGCTAAGGTTACCCCTAGTAAAGGTTGCTGCGTGAAAGGAGCCCCTGATTTATGTGGTTTGGTTTGTTTAGTTGTTATTTAACGCCGCACTCAGCAATATTCCAGCTATAGGGCAGCGGTTTGTAAGTATTCGAGTCTGGACCAGACAATCCTGTGATCAACAGCATGAGCATCTATCTACGCAAATGGTATACGATGACATGTGCCAACCGTGTCAGCGAGCCTGACCACCCGATCCCGTTAGTGGCCTCTTACAAGCATGGGTTGCTAAAGACGAATTCTAACCAGGATTTTCACGGGTTTCCTAACTTAGTAGCCAGTATTAAGGTTGTAGAGAACCTCGTGTTTATTTACGTAGGTCCACACAACTATATTTGACTGTAATATGACGTGATAATCCAGTCTATAGTATATGCGGCGCCCAGTGTACCTCATACAAACCCTTTTTATGAGACACTTTTTGACAGTGCAATGTGCATGTTATATGACGTTCTAGTGGATCATACAGGAAACGGCCTTATGTTTATTCATGGTGATGCCCGAATAAGTAGTACATGTATTCTCCAGTGTGCTGAGTTAACAAATACTTAAACCAGATTCGTTTTACTTTAGCTGAAACAGGGATATGTAAAATGTTTAAAATGTCATATATATATATATGCTGAAATACAGGAACAGTATATGTAAAATGTTTAAAATGTCATATATATATATATATATATATATATATGATGAGAATACCGAGCGAACAGTAGTACATATATAAGAAGAAGTTTATCACTTTTATCTTCAGGGAGAAGTGATTACAGTTAAACGGATTATGTTATGACCTTATATATATATATATATATTTATTTATGTTGGCGTTAATTAATGTTTGCCTTATACACACTCGGTAATCAAGAGTAACGAACCAACATTTTGATATGGAATTGCAAATAAACCAATTGAGAAGGTACATCACGATGTATTGTGTTTATAAATACTATGAAATGAGGAAATTTGGTCTTCCATAATCATTTTCGTTGCACAGTTTGCAGAAACCAATGTCTATTTCAATGGTAAAACAACTCACCTACGCTACGCTTTATGGTAGGATCAATATCAAGACTTCGAAACAAATGGCCCTATCACCAGATTTCACTCTAATGATCTCAGAAGAAGTCTAGTATTTCACGCATACATTTTTCAGTTAACTTGAGATAACATTTGTTTTCATGTTTTATAATTTGTCCTGAACCTTAGAACTTATCTATGTTCAGTCTGTGCCTGTTTAATCCGAAAGCGATACTCACTAGAACCAGCAACGTATCTATCCATGGATGTTAGACTGGGCTTTAAAACTCAGTACAATGATGGACTGGACGTTTCCGGTTTTAGAGTCAATCCAAAAGTTAATAGTAGTGATAGTTTCGGTAGATTTGTTTGATTCATTAGTTCGGTAACATAGTTTTTTATTAAATCATCACAAACTCGTCGTTTCTGAAATTCTACGAGGTTTGTCTTGTGATCATATCGTGTGGATGTTACTGTCAGGCTGATGAACATCGCAGCGATAATGAATGGTTTGGCTAGCACGGTACCATTCGCCGGTCCTGCCCTCGTCTCAGCCACGTGGTTTCCCCCCAAACAGAGGGCCACTGCAACAGCCATGTCGGCTATCTTCAGCTTCATCGGCATATCAGTGGGCTTCATCATTGGTAAGGTTACGTAAGACAAAGTGCAAAAAAAAGAAGAAGAAATATACATGTGTCTACAGCTTGTTCAGCTTGACCTGATACTAATGTATTGCGTGACCGTGTCACAGCTGGTTGGGTCTATTATTGTGAAGGGGTGTACCTATGTCAGTTGATTGTCAACATGTCCGAACAGCGGAGACCAGGTCGCCGTTTGACAACTCAGTGTCGAGAAATCGTCAGCAATGTCCTAACTACTGGGACAGAAATATTGCAGTTGAACATGAAATAGAAAAAGTGATAATTTAAATGGGTGTAGAGAGTGATAAGAGTGAATCGGATTGTGAAAGTAATTGACGTCTGTACTTTGTAAAGTAAGCAAACCAAAATAGATAGCATATATCTGTATAAACAATTCAATTAAAACATGAAATGATTGTTTTTTCGGAAGTGTTGTTTTCTGGGACAGGTTCTGTAACGAATCCATTCGCACGAATGCAACATTAATAACATTCTCTGCTCACCTATTTAATGAAGTTAACTCGTCCTGCCGTTTGTGCCATTTGACCTCCCGGGTCATGCATATGTAGAGTGCCTCGGGTCAAGCTGAACAAGCTGTAGTCACTTACCATACGGTTATGTATATTGTGATAAAATGTCTAATGGTTGAATGTGGCAGCAAATTCATCGATTTGCTCGTATGATCCGAGATGTGTTGGTTACCTTTGTTTGATTTAGAGTGTCCTCCCTTGCTTTTGTATGGTTCAGACTCAAATCTGCCTCATTGAAGGAGACACCGTTAACCTCGCGGTTTAGAGGTGGAAGGATTTGTCGAACGACTTGTTCACAGACTTGGTTGACACATGTCATCGTATCCCATTTGCGCAGATCGATGCTCAAGCTGATGATCACTGGATTGTCTGGTTCAGACTCGATTATTTACAGACCGCCGCCATATAGCTGGAATATTGCTGAGTGCGGCGTAAAACTAAACTCACTCACTCCCGTGTTTGTAGATGAATAGTGGCACTATAAGTTCACCGTATAACGAATACTTAGTGTCATTACTAATCATTATTCATAGACACATGCGGATGGTTTAAATCGGAATAGATGAAAGACACCCTGCTTTCATTTTTATGGTTGTGCAAATTGTTTAGTCGCCTTGTGTCTACAGGGCCGCTGTTTGTGCCGCAACCTGACAAACCATCCCTGAACATGACCGACGTCCTATCTATAAGGTAAGAAGGAGAACACTGTCTGCCTGTCCATATAGATTAGTCATTTGTTGAATGTAAGCAGGTCCCCACCCACTATACCCACACTTCTATTGAGCCCTCATCTCTAATAATGGCGGTGGGGTAGCCTAGTGGTTAAAGCGTTCGCTCGTCACGCCGAAGGCCCGGGTTCCATTCCCCACATGGGTACAACTTGTGAAGCCCATTTCTGGTGTCCCCCGCGTGATATTGCTGGAATATTGCTAAAAACGGCGTACAACCATACTCAGCCAGTCTAATAAGTACTCTTCACTGCTCTATGGGGATGGGGTGGAAGAAGTTACGGACAACATCCATTCAGAAATTCCGATTTCTGTTTCCATATCTCAGATCTCTGCCCCCTAATACTTTTATCAACATTCATTTCTGTTTATGAAATGTGCTTTCACGTCTGCACCCCAACTCGTCCTTTTCAAAATGTCCTCCGATCCTCATCCCCCCTTTCCACATGCTCTGTTACCACGTTCACCTCCTCTGTCATTATCATATTGGTGCAATGGTCGATGTCCCTTGTTGCAGTTCGCCACGTCGAATCAACTCCACTGGTTTTACTCCGACACCTGCCGGTAACATAGCCGAGGTGAGAAGCGGCATCATGAGACTCATGTATACAGGTGATCAACGTTTCCTCTGAATCAAACTGTTTACATGTATATATATACAACAGTGACAGCATGCTTGATTGGCCACATTCATTCACCTTCCCTTGTCAGTATCCTTTCCGGTGATACATAAGTGTCTCCTCATTCCTTCGCTGTGGTAGCCGCGTGGTTAAAGTATTCTCTCATGGTATCATTGACTTCGATTTCCGCAGAGATCAAATTTGTAAAGCCCATTCCACGTGTCTGTCTCACGTATTGTTTAGATGTTGCTGTCACATGTCCTTACATCAGCGAAATCAGGCCTATTCGTAGGATATTTTAATCTACTCATGACAATGTTATCAGTAATAGTACTACTGTATTATTAAAAATTTATTATTATCTTTTTACTGTGTTGTATACAGAATGTGCGGCGTGTGTGCTGCTGCTGCTCCTGGTGGTGGTGTACTTCCCCGCCAAGCCCCCGTCTCCCCCAAGTCTCACAGCGTCCATAGAGAGGATAAGCCACCTGCAAGGGATCAAAGGGCTATTCACGTAAGACGTGATAGAGAATCGATCTTGGCAAATACACTTACGACCCCAGTGACGCCGCTTCTATTTTTGACACATTTCATTGTATCCCAGCTGCGTAGATCGATGCTCATGCTGTTGATCACTGGATTGTCGGGTCCAGGCTGGAGTATTTACAGACCGCCACCATATAGCTGGAATATTGCTGAGTGTGGTTTTAGACAACAAACCAGCCAACCAAACATTTCTGTAGTTGATTGAATCTGTACTCAAAGAGAAGTCTTGATGCAGATTAACATAAATCTGTTTGCTCCGTGGGTCATCAGAAAGGTAGAAGTGCGCTGTAAACCATCCCTGAGAATCTGTAGAAGTGACCTGTAGGTGTTGTGATGAAGATTAGTTGTTTGGGTAGGTTCGTTGTGACCCTCCCCTCTGGTTCCTAACTTTGCGAAGTTAAAAACAACTTATATCTTCACTGTAATAGATCATCCCGATAATAATCAATTCTATCACGGGGAAAACAAGTGTATTCATTTTGCTTAATACTAGATATATGTTATCAACCTTTCGTGATATTCATTGTAGCTATGACAGCAAGGTAACAAATCTGGACTGGTGAGCAAATAGTAGACAACAGTGAACGCAGCTCGATCAGCTTCAGACTGTATCATTCAATTGTCTGTACTATAGTTTAAATTTTGTGCAGCCATAAAGGCTTCTGGTTGATAACACTGGCCTTTAGTGTACCAACAGGAGTCTACATGGCGTTTGGGTCAGTACTGGACGTGGTTCTGAACGGTGTCGATGTAACACAGGTAAAAAACGATAACTACATTTCATGTGTCTTCATTAACATTATTGGATTATTACTAAAAGCACCTTAACTCTCTATCCACAATCAATAAGTAGCACTTGTGGAATCTTCAACATGTATTGTCTTTCAGGACCATGCTGGTTGGATTGGCTTTTATGCCACGATGGGCGGTTGTGTAGCGGCCCTGCTCTTGTCCAGGTAGGTACAAGTGTGTCAGGATGGACTGTGAGACAGAACATGCGACAGAAGATCAATGTATTTACAATGTGTTTAATATCTGACACATTGGTTGTTACAATTCGGTATAACATCGGGACCATGTCTCATGCCATGGTTACCATAGGCCCCCACTGCGAGTCAGAACATCGATAAACTAGGCCCCGCTTTAGTTTCCACACCCTACTATATAATATGTAAAGGTTCATGACAGAAATACGGTGACATACTTCCGGCACAGCAACTCGGTCTTTTGCGATTTAATAAAAACCATCAAATGCATCCCCAGGGAAAGCGCATGCATATGCCTCCTACACACATCAGAGATATGGACAAAAGCTTTTGATACTTGTGAGACCTTTAAAATACGATATATTCATTGTCCGGTTTTCGATCATGTCACCGTATTTCTGTTATAAACCTTTACATATTACATATAGTAGGAGGTGTGGATACTAAACCGGGGCCTAGTTTATCGATATTCTGACCCGCAGTGGGGGCCTATGATGTTTACCGCTGTTGTTGCTGAATGCTGTGTTCTTTACTTCAAGGGTCGCTGACATATTTCTGCGTCACATGAAGACGATGTTGTTGGTCCTATTTGTCTTAGCAACAGCTGCTACACTCTGGTTTGTCCTGATCCGTCTGTCCGTCATCCCCTTTAGTATGGGTGAGTGCATCTGTGAATATTGTATGTAAGTAGACAAATAAGTGGAGATCTGGAATGACATCTGGAAATGCACGTCAGAGATGCTTTGGAAGATTGACATGTTTTCGTTTTCTTTATACAAGCACCGCTGCTTATCACATATCCAAAACTCACATAGTGACCAGCTGTCCGGGGAGAAATATCTTGTATTTCTAGAGGTTCTAGTTCATGGTTCAAACGAAACAAGATCACATCACAACATCCTTGCATGCGATGAAGAGGGAAGCCTAAATCTAACGTCCTTCTATCTGAAATTGCGTGAAGCCATTTATCATGTTTTTATCGTTCCTATTAATTACTCGCATTTTATTGCATAGTCTGCAAAAAGAAGGTTCATGTTGACTTTAGAGGCAGAGTAAATATTGTCAATAAATACATCAGAAAGTCGTGACTTGACTTGTTTACATTGCACAACATGTGCATGTGTGGCAGCTGGTGCAAATAGAGCGTGTTCAGAAACGACAAGATGTACGAAGTAGTCAAATCGCAGTATCGGCTATGTCCTCCACGACCTTTCTTAACAATGCGTTCAATGGAAACCTGTTGTGTGTATTGAACTGTCGTCGATCGGGCGCATCCAAATTCACGAATAAGTTTGGTGGTCGAGATGGCCATGGCAGCTTCCACTATGAAACGTCCACCACCGACGTTCATGTATGATACTACTCGATGCCGTACCCACTGACTGCTCTACAACATGGACCAATGCGGAGCCAAAGAGCTGGTGCGCACTTTCTTGAAGGCGGGGCGGCGGGGTAACCTAATGGTTAAAGCGTTCGCTCGTCACGACGAAGATCCAAGTTCGATTCTCCACATGGGCACAATGGTGTCATCCACACCCATATTAATGGAATATTGCTAAAAGCGGTGTAAAGCCAAACTTAGTCAACCACTCAATTACTCCTGCAAAAGTATGGACCCATTAAACACACTTCGGGGCATTGGTACGAGTATGTCCGATAGGCCATCCGTATTTCTGAGTGTTTTTCAAGTCCAACCGCTTCAAGCAAGTGAGGGGTCGCTCGGAAAATGACTTTATTGGTTATCTTTTGAATGAATATTTGGATTGGAACCAGAGAAAGAGTGTGTTAAAATGGTTTGAAAACGCAGGCAATCAGTTGTTCTTCGAATTGCACGAAGAGTGACATATTCGAAGAAAATGGCCAACAATGTTAACTTTTAAAGGCCAGACAATCAGACGCTTATCATTTCAACTTAGTGCAGTCTTAAGAAGTGCAAAAGTAAAAACACCTTTTTCATCGTTCTTGAAGGATTTTGATATTCCACGCCTCGGGGAAAATAACAGAGGGGGAGCTATAGTTATGCTTCATTCAGGTACCTCTTAGTATGATGTTCTTTAAATCACCGTCCTTAGAAACATCATGTGTTACTTAGTGCGACAGTTTCAGCAAAACATTAAATTTAAAGACCATCCTCGTGGTGGCCTCAGTAACGACCTCTCGTTTAGACCGATGATGGATTCGAAACACTCATCTTTGATACAGGCTCGTATACTTGTCACGTAATATATATAATACCGAAAGATTCGAGACAGAATGTCCACTGACTGATTCTAACTGGATCATTCATTCATATTAGTGTGTGCCAGTTTCTATATAGCTTGATCGATTTGATTCCCCTCCACCAGTGTCGCTGTACCTATCCACCATCTTGATGGGAGTTTTCATCAATGCTTCTATACCTCTGTTCTACGAGCTTGGGTGTGAGGCGTCATATCCAATTGCTGAGGGAGTGACGGTCGGTGTTCTCACCATGGCCAACAACCTGACTGGTGTCGTCTTTCTATCTGTGATGCAGATCCCGAGAATAGGTATACCTCCATCATTTCAACCCAGGCATTATAAGTTCAGGCGTTCACAAATGTTATGAAACGCACGCTGATGAAACGCTAAGAGACCAAGGCTCATAAACCAGGATCAAGTTTTGATTCCTTGAATACTTGCATGGCTACTTGTATCGTAAAACTGCTTACTGGACATACACTGACATACTCAGTTTATATATGATTAAATCCACCTTTTTATTAACCATTACAATGGGGAGGAAATATGAAGCGTTATTAAGACAGCGGGGAGACACATGAAGAACATTACAAAAGACACATGTTTTGACGTTTCGATTAACATATCTAAATTGTTGTCTGCCTCTGAACACCACTGTGGATACAGGTGGAAGAAGCCAGCTTCAAATATTGACATCTGAATCTCTTGCAGGTGTTGGGTGGATGAACTGGGCCACCCTGGGCTCTGTAGCGGTTGCAGTACCCCTACTTCTGTTGTTCACAGAGAACTACACCCGGACCGACATCGACACACAGGAGAGCATTGTTCCAGAGCCTCATAAATGTGCTGCAGCGTCGATTAATGCCAACACTAAAGTTGATTGATAGGAAACGTAACTCGTTCTGGGAGTGAATTTTAATACACTTTGAGCTGCTAGTGATTGGTGAATCGATGGCTTACAATTTCACAATGTACACCTATTGTGCTGGTATTACTGTGGATGTGGTTAAAGAGGATTATCAGTACCTAGTAATAGAGAAATATTCTGACACTAAAAATGATTTCAAATTTCTTCTGCGCGAACTGGACTGAAGAGTCCCTTCAACCTCATTTCATCGCACACCAGAGCACCATATCTAGTTTATTCATCACATTATTAACCGCCAGAGGGAGTTGGTTCAAAGGCGCAACACCACCCACAGCTCTTGTCACTGTTGACTTCAAATCAGTGTCTTGCCATGGCCTTCAGTATTTCCGGATTTCCAGAGCACCTGTAGGATGGGCTAGATGGAAGTACATTTCACTTTCAAAATACGCCACAGACACTTTCTAGACAAATGGAGAATTCAACAGGACAAAATCCGTAGACCTATTCGGCAAGTGCCAAGAAGGTGTAACGCAGTGATACCAGCCAGTGGTGTTTACTCTTGGCAGTGACGGGACGACCCCTCGTGGACGAACGTGTGATGGGACAATCAGTATTGCCATTATATTTCCAGAGCATGTGACTGTCACCATGCTAGGTTTTATCCTCAAATTAAATTAAATATGCACATTTTATTTTATCTTATCTCACGCATAAATGTCGCTTTCTAATTGGCTGAGCGCTCTTCTATTATTTCCAATGTACCCCGCTTACAAGCGAGTAACATTTCAATGTGCCCCGCTGTCAAATGGCAACTCATTTGGTACTTCGTGCTAGTAATTCTTTATCTCGAATAACATTGAATCACGTATGATGTACGGAAATTAACGATGTTTTGCGAAGGCAAATTGGTTGAAGGGAGATAACTCTAAATCTGTTTTTCTCTCAGCAAAATCGTGTACCCGTGCTTCAAACAATTCAAAATTAACATTAAGGTGTTCGGTAAGATAAAAACGTTGTTCACTGGTCCCTCGGGGCCCATGGGTTGATGTACCCTCGATGTTTGCACTTCGGGCTCAGGGAACATAAACAAACATCGAGGGTACATCAACCCATGCCCCACTGGTGACTAGTGAACAACTTATAATGTAACACAAATAAAATTCTAAATTGGTTTGTATGTTTCTCTTTTTCGAGTGTATCTGCTAACTGAGATACATTTACCTGTTGGTTTTGGTTGTTCGATAGCCTATTTGTTAATGACAAAGCATCTGCTCATTGCATGTCGTGGTGCTTTGATCAGAACAATTACCACACATCGGGTCTTGGCGCTGACATAGATATCTGCCTTGTCTTTTGTCGTGGATACATGCGCATTATGTATCTATGTCTGTCACCAGACGTATTTCCTACATCAATATCAGTAAGCTCAACACACACATGACAGGATGCTCGTAACATTTGACCTGAGTGTTCATCAAATGACATACTAGTGTAGTGGGTACAACAACCTGTCAAAATTGTATATGGATTTAAGGATTATTTCACCTGGTGTGAGTGAGATTAGTTTTACACCGCCTTTAGCAATATTCCAGCAGTATGACGGTATTTGATAGCAGAAATGGGCTTAAAACACTGTACCCATGTGGAGAATCGAACACGGGCCTTCGGCGTGATGTGCGAACGCTTTAACCACTAGGCTACGACACTGCCCATTTCACCTCCACGATCATTGCTGAAAAGAAAAGACCTGACCGTGTTTTTCGAGTATTGCAATGTAGCGTTAGGCAACATACAAACATCTTAATTTCGTTTACATTGTGTGAGCGTCGGGTGCTATAGGTAAGACATGCTTACTCTTTCGCGAACACCTGATGGCATCATTGAAGAGTTTCAATGATCTATTCACTTTTATTACTGTTCTTTAGCCTTTTATGCCCAATGGATTCTGCTTCTTTGGATCTTCGACACTTGAAGTTTTATGTTTACTAACATTCACAACTGTTTAATATATCGTATCTGGGTGTGAACTTTACAGAGTTGTATATGTTAAGCATGTTTTACATATAATTCCTTGGTATGGTCGATGGCAAACTGGCGTTGTTCATGATGAAATGTGTGTTGCTGGTATTTCAATTATTGTTTGGCCATGCTGACTAGTAATGAAATAATATTATGAATCTGATTTCACAACCAAGGTATACAAACTGAGCACTTTGTTGAGGACATTAGGTATTTATATGTAACTTTGTTGTGTTGCTTTCAGAACATAGTAACGGATTTCCATACAGTAAAGAAATGAATAATGTATATTCAAATAATGGTCGAAACAAACTGAATCCAAACCTGGGCATTAGAAAATAAAGTAAGTTGTTATTGCATAGGTACTGTATTCCTGTATTGGAATATGCACCATTTTCAGCCAGTTCTGAACATTAAGCGTGTGTCACCAACAGCGATAAAACTAAGTGACAGAAACTGGCAATTATCAATCAACAAATTTCCTTAACCGACATCACGGGTCACTTCGTGACATGATTGTGCCAGCGTGGGTTCATTACACTGAGCTGTGAATAGTGGCCTGGAAGTCATGGCGATGTATAATGTCACCACTCTCAAGAGTGTTGATGCCATTTAATCGTCACTCGGCACAGATAGGGGAACAGTTTCACTGATATATTTGACTGTTGATATTGAATCAAAACCTTCGTTTATACATTAAATCATTCTTGAACATTTCGTGCTGACATAACAATCTTTGATGTGCCAGCATTGAGGTCTGCAAGGATACCAATATCACCCTGAGCACAGAGCAAGTCATACATGCCACTCAACAAATCTAAGTCCTTGTGCGTACATATCAAGATGTTTGTTGAAAGAATGCGACAACATGTACCATACATATCATTTGCATGAGGATGGTATTTGGTGACACCAAGACGAGCTAGGTAGACACTGTGCCTTCAACCTGGAGAAGGACAGCACAAAACAGAGCCAAATGCCACGTGCAGACTGTGAAAATCATTCTATCTGTAAGCAGTACTGTTGGTCAGCCAGTGCTTCTGTTTACCTGTAACTGGTATTGTAGAGTTGATCTTCCCATTTCGATGCAGAACACCACCCACTGTGCTCGTGAACACGTCCAACAATATCATCAGCTTCATAAGCGCCCATATAAATGGCAATATATTCATTGTTCGTTTAGTACTCATTAGTGCCATTATTAACAATGCATACATCATCTCTAATAGACACGTTATCACATGTTTCAAAATATTTGTTTGATTCGTTACAACTGTATCTGACCTTGAACTCACGTGTGTTGCAATTGAAAAAATTACCGGACATCACTGATCGGTGACTCAACTGTCTCATGGATTGTTTAAATGTAAGATTAATCTGCTCTGCCCTTTCCTTGTAACTCGTGACATTCTGTCTCCATTGCTTTCCCAGCTTTAAAGCACCCGTGAAAATAACTGTAAATCTAAACAAGGAATCTCATGTAATTTTCTAATGGTTTAGGGATGCATTTCTACCTTAATATAGAGTTAATAGTATACATTTCAAAGGAACATACTTCACACACCAATTGAACAACAACAACAACAACAAAAAGACAATATAGTTTTATAACAACGTTGTAAATAGTTATGAACAATTGCCCCTTGGTCTTTTTCCCAGACATGTTATTTTTCATCTCTTTTTAAGATAGATAATGTGCAGGAGCAAGTGTTTGCACCCAACCAACATGTAACTGTCTTAACAATCTTGGTAACACACACACGTTCATAAATAGTGAAACAGTCATATATAACGTGGATTACATTTTGCTTGAAAGTCTATATGCGTGACTGTGAGTATCAGAGTTTTCCTTCATGAAAACAATATCGATATATCTCCTTAAGAGAACGGACAAAACCTGTCCACATCCATGAGAAACACATGTACAATCATATCAGTCCAATCGGGCCACAGTATGAAACTTAAACCCACACATTCATCAATAAGGAGGAAAGGAGTATTTGATTACACTGTTTGGATGTTTGATGTTTTCCTATCATCTAACTTTAATGTCGGTATTGATCGATACAGCACCACCCTCATCAGGTTCTGGAACAATGATCACCTGTGTGTCGATGTCAGTCCTGGTGTAATTCTCTGTGAACAACAGAAGTAGAGGAACGGCAACTCCTACGGAGCCCAGCATGGCCCAGTTCATCCACACAGTACCTGCAAAATGTACAGCAGTATATGTAACTATTTGATATTGATTATTACGTCATTACTGACTTGTTTTGTGTTTAGATGTAGAAACCAACTTTACATAATCAAAACGGACCAAAATGTGCCTTCCCAATTACATTCCTTATGAGCGTTGAAGTTGGGTGCATACAATTAAAGTATATCGACGTTTGTGTTCATATGTCATGAAGCTCAGTGCTCTATTCCTGCAATGCTCAAACATCTATTCAAGGAATGCACAACTGGTTATGATCTTTAGGAAAACAGAGGTTTACCTATTTTCGGGATCTGCAGCACAGAAAGGAAGATGACACCAGTCAGGTTGTTGGCGATGGTGAGGACACCGACCGTCACTCCCTCAGCAATAGGATAAGACGCCTCACACCCAAGCTCGTAGAACAGAGGTATAGAAGCATTGATGAAGACTCCCATCAAGATGGTGGACAGGTACAGCGACACTGACAGAGGAGAGTCAATTCGATCAAGCTTAACCAAGTCCGCATGTCACACTCAGTTTCTACTTTTTCCTGTATGAATCTACCATCTATATGAATCTCAGCAAAAAGGTGCATATATGGACTTTTACGTCAAACAGATGCACAGAATCTTTAGGTAGAATGTCTGCCATTCCACAAGGCATTTCATGTACCTTTTAGGTATATGGACACACATGTTACTACATTTTACAAAAGCCATGATTACCGTAGCGATATCTCTGTTACATCGTCACATATATGCATCCACATATTGCCTATAAGCATACAATATTAACTTCCTCACCTAAACTGAAGGGGATGTAGGACAGGCGAAGTAAAACAAACCAGGCTGTGGCGCCTGTTGCTAAGACGAACAGCAGTAAGAGCATCATCTTCATGTGGCGTAGAAACAGATCTGCAATCCTTGAAATGAAGAACACAATATTAATCGATAATCTTAGAACTTGAAATCATTGAATTGAACATCGTTGTTAACGGTCGATGAGTCAAGTGTTGAGTTTGTTTGTTCTTTAACGATACCAGCTATATGGAGGCGCCCTGTAAATAATAGTGTCTTGGTCAGACAATCCATTGATCCAACATCGACAATTGGGATACGATGACATGTGTCAACCAGGTCAACGAGCCTGACCACCCGATTTCGTTAGCCGCCTCTTACGACAAGCATGGGGTGCTGAAGACCAATTCTAACCCGGACCTACACGGACCAAGTGCTAATTAAAGTTTATATCACATGAATGTTCGATCTTGGTCAGAATGGTCATACCTGGACATCAGTAGTGCTGCTACACAACCACCTGTCGTTCCATAAAATCCCATCCAACCTGCATGGTACTGAAAAGCAACAGTAGAATGTTTTCTAGTTTTTCTTGAAGAGTTGTTTTCGTTCTCAGTTTAAGTATTCTTTCAGGATTGAGGTGAATGAGTCATAAACATTGTCCAGTAACATGGAGACTGATCACATACGAATAAGGCTCCATTGTATAGAATATCGTGTCATTAATCATGTTTTAACTGTTGGGAGTAGTTTCTGCACATTAATTTTAACTTGAAGAAATGCCAAAGGATACATGGTCTTGTTATATCATTGATGCACACACGAAACAGGAAATAACATACTACCCATCCAGCTTTCAACAAACCAGTCTGCCTGACAATGTGGAGCTTGAAACAACCGATCTGGATTGTCCATATATGTTCAATTTATGTCTGCCATGTAATAATCTTTTGAAATATCACAGAACAACATAAAAGAAATACTTATTACCTGTGATATACCGACACCATGCAGGACGACATCCAACACAGCTCCAAACGCGCTGTAAACTCCCGATGGTATACTGATGGCCGTCATTATCATCCAGAAGCGTCTGTGCCTGCAAAAATAGACACATGGATGACACAAGATAGTCGCGCCGACCCGAAGACCATCATGCGTTGATTGGTGGGGGCAAGTGTTTATGTGTATTCGCGTATGTGCGTGTGCGTGTGTACCTGCGTCTTTTCTCCCGAGGGTATTAGCTCATAAGTCTCACCTAATTGTTGACAGGTTTTCATATCCACTAAAAATACGTGTGCAGTTTTAAAATACATAAAATACTTGTCTTTCTAGAGCTGGAACATTTTACTGATTATGGCTGTAAGAGCTATCTCATATAAATTGTCATAGTTTTAAAAACACCCACAAAGGTGATTATCACAGAGACCTTCCGAAACCATAAATGAAACTATAGCTTCCAACAACATTTTCACTATGTCAGTAGGTGCTACAGATTGACCTGAAGGAGTGAGGGATTGAGTGTGTGAGTGAGTTTAGTTTTACTTCGCAATCAGCAATATTCAAGCTATATGGTGGCGGTCTGGAAATAATCTAGTCTGGGCCAGACTAGGGGTTAGACAGCTCACAATCTTACGTGAATAATCTTTTGATCCCCTGTAGGTAGCTTATCCTCTCTATGGACGCTGTGAGACTTGGGGGAGACGGAGGCTTGGCAGGGAAGTACACCACCACCAGGAGCAGCAGCAACACACACGCCGCACATTCTGTTACCACAACAACTAAGTTACAACAACTTAGTGGTGCTATTACCGAGATATCATCCTCAGGAGAAGCATTAACAGAACACACGAAGATACCTACTATACTAGTTCTAGACTGACTGACCTGAGTTTGATTTTACGCCGCTTTTAGCAATATTCCAGCAACATCACGGTGGGGGGACACCAGAAATGGGCTTCACACAATGTACCCATGTGGGGATTCGAACCCGGGTCTTCGGCGTGACGAGCCAACGCTTTAACCACTGGGCTACCCCACCGACCCTACTAGTTCTAGAAGTAATTGTCGCCAGAGTATACATGTTATTCCCAAGAGAAGGATATGCAATGTTAATTCAATACGCAATACATGTGAGACACATCTGGACTCGACTTCACAAATTGCATCCATGGAAAAACCGAACAGAGCTATGTGATAAAGAAACACGTCATCCTCCTGGACCAACCAAACGGGCTCGTGAGGAGGAGTGTGAAAACGGGAAAAAAAAAGATTATGAGTAAAATGGTATCCTATCGTTATGATATTTACAAACAGTTTGATTTAGTGCGTTGAGGAAACGTTGATCACCTGTATACATGAGTCTCATGATACCGCTTCTCACCTCGGATATGTTAGCGGCTGGCGTCAGACTGAACCCACTGGAGTTGATGCGACTTGAACTGCAACAAGGAACGACCAATGCAGATACTGACATAGGTGGGTTCATGTAGAAACACAGAAGATAAGGGTTGGGGTGAGTGAATTTGTGGTTCTTCTTACTTTAAAAGTAGTATGTGCGTCATGTTCAAGGATGGTTCATCTGGCTGTGGCACCAAGAGCGGCCCTGAAAATTGTGTGACACAGCTTTGAATTTGAATGTTTAATTGGTCGTCAGAAGAGAAAGAATTCGTTAGAGGAGATCCAGCGTCATTTTGATTTCATCACTTGACGAATCTCGACTGATTGGGAATACAATTTGATGAGGGGCTATTGACGAGTAACTGATTGCCCTGAAATTCGTACAATCATCTTTTTACTAATCGTGGGCCATGACCCATTATTAATCTTAGTCATCGCAAAAGTTCACATGTTGACCACACAGCCCTGTCGTCTTCGCAGTTCTTTACCCCCTTATGATACAGCGTGTCCTGTTATTTGTTGCATCCTACCCGTCGGTTTTCTTAGCTATCAATTACCATCCCTCTTCGTATCTATTTAATCATCACTTGAGTCTAATTTTCAAGTTCAGTTAACCAGTCCTATATTGTATGAAGGTATTTGATCCTTTTGAGGCAAAATAGTGTCATTTTGTAATCCCCACTGATACCTATATGTGCATCTGAAAAGTGCTTTGAAATATTGTACAATACCTATATATGATTATTTCTATTTTAAAGTTTCAGATCTTACGTCAAGATTTCGAAGGAAAGTTTGAAACAACTGATTCAAAAGATTTCGAACTAGATGCCTGTATATTTTATCCTTGTAGTATTTTAAGTCCTGCTCTTTGTTTTACTTTACTCACCTATGATGAAGCTCACGGATATGCCGACGTAGGTAAAGATAGTTGACACGGCTGTTGCTGTGGCCCTCTGATTGGGGGGAAACCATGTGGCGGAGAGGAGGGCGGGGCCGGCGAATGGCACAGTTGCAGCCAAACCAAGTGTTATAGCTGCGGTGTTCATCAACCTGAAGGCAGGAGATCTGTCATAATATCCCAAGATATACCTCACAGATGGTAGGCAATATATTCACGTATCTGTGTATCTGTTTATGAATGCCTTGATCTAAATGCTGCATTACGAAAGGACGTAAGTTAACTGTTCAATACTCGATAATGCTAGCACACACTGTTGACATTCTGTGGTTTCAAAGGGAACCATTTACGTAAATGCTCCAGTGGTGCCAACAGTGCATATAAACAAGTTTTTTCACTGAAACAGTTCGTCTGATCAAAATGTGTCAAGTGAAACATACCACAAGATTAGAACATACTGCATAGGTTAGAAAACACGTCACATATGATAATACACCTCATGGCCACATATAATATACACTGCAATAATAATTAGGCTGTTCACTTGAGTTTCTTAAACAAATGCAGTCTGGAGTCAAATAGAATTCACTGAAGCGTCACATTTAATATACACTGGATTATGTTTCATTTTTAATACCAAATCATATTTGCCAGGGTGTCACAAGTATTATGGATCATGGATTCACTACAGCGATACTGACCATGTGGCTGGTACTGGGTCACTGGTGATGCATCGTATGGCAGTCGTAAACACCAGCACCACAGAGCACAACAGCATTGATACCCGTAGTCCTGAAGGGAGAGGGTGGGGCAATACGCCTTAAAGCTCAGTTAGTTAAACATTTCTAGCTGATCATCATAATCTTTAACATGCATGATTATGAAAGGATGATTTAGATCCTAACCGAAACTGCTACTTCTTTGTTACAATGGGTTTCTATGTACAATCTTGAGTTGACAGTTTTGCACATGTATTTTAAACGCTAGACTTTCGGAATTTCTAGAAATGAACAATTTAATTACCCTTGCGCAAGCGGGTTTCAAAAAGAATTTTAAAACCATAGATAACATCTTTGTTTTACATAACCTTGCTAATATAATGTCGACTCAAAAAGAAAAACTCTTCTGCGCGTTTATTGATTTCACGAAAGCATTTGTTTGAAGAATCGGTCTCTGGACGAAGATACGGAAGATTGAAATTGACGGTAAATTCTTTACGCTCATCACAAACATATGTGATAACATTAAATCAATTGTAAAAGTCAACAATGACACCTGGTGTTATGTTCCTTGTTGAAATGGTGTTCGTCAGAGAGAAAATTTGTCCCCGCTCTTATTCTCAGTCTTTTTAAACGATCCAGAAAACCACCGACTCGCTTGACTCATTTTATGATTATTGCGGAAATTGGAAATAAAACGTCAATTTATCAAAAATAAAAGTCATAGTTTCGGTGCTGGGCCGGCTAAAACATCAAGATTAGAATTTAAATATGGAAACAAAAGTTAGATATCTTTGATAGCTATGTTTATCTAGGAATAGAATTTCATAGAAATAAAAGAATGGTTACCAGTATTGAAAGAGTAGTAGGAAATGCCACAAAGGCGATGTACTGTCGATTAAAGAAAGCACGAAATCTAAATCTACCACTTGATGGTCTCATGTCAACTTTTGATGTTATGATATGATAAATCCTTACAAACCGATCCGAAACTTCGGGGTATGAGAAAGTAGAACTTATTGAATGTGTTCATTTAAAGTTTCTAAAAATGGCCGCCGGTCTCAGAAAATCCACCCCAAACTTTATGGTTTATGGCGAATTTGGTAGAGCCCCATTAAATATCAGAATCTATGTTCGTATGTTGTCATAAACTCGCATCTACTGAGACGACCAAACTGTCTCATGTTATATACCAATATATAAGTCATGATTATGAACAACACCCTACGGCATACCCTTGGTTATATTCCATAAAACAATTATTAGACAGAATCGGTTTATCTGAAATATTTGAAAATCCATCGGCATATTCTACAAAGTCTCTAGTTTCAAAAGCAAAGCAAATTCTAACAGATCAGTTTAATCAAAAATAATCAAGAACATAAACGTTCCAGTTCTAAGGGACTTTATTATCAAAAGTTTAAAAAAACACTGGCTTTTGAAAAATATCCTTTATTTCAATATATATATATATCCCAATTTTGAAATTTTGAACTTCAAATCTAACTCTTCCGATTGAAACGGGCAGATTGCAGAACAACAACCGAGAGAAGAAAGACTATGTAAACTATGTAACTGTTATTTAGTTGGTAACGAATTCCATTATCTTTTTGAATGTTCATCACTTAATTCTTTGAGAAAATCATTCATCCCCCCAAAATGTCACAATAGGTCAGGAGCTTCTCGATGAATTTGTTATGTGAAATATTGATCAGACGAATGACCAAATATTGTGTCATCAATAAACAACTTCGATCACTGACTACAGGCAATTTGAACTTAACACCTATCAGGCTATAATCCATAAACAAAACGCATTGATGTATGGCCCGAGTTCGGTCTCTGTCACATTATGTAATTACACAGACAGGCAGGTGTGATACTTGTACACATGACATGTTATGATGTCTGTTGATTGCAAAATGTTATACAAAAAATGAGCATGTATTTACAAAACCCAACATCTCTATATTCAGTGAAAAACTAACAAACAATATTGAAATGTTGTACGATTGACATTATATCAAATTAACAAGTTATTACATAACACAGCAATGTTCGTCCAACGACAGTATGGATTAAAGTGGAAGTATAACATTCATTGGCAGAATACAATAGCAGTGAAGATAGCAATAATGTCAGTAAATTCGTTCAGCTTCGAAAGTAGGCCATCGTTGGATATCAAAGGTGAAAAGATTATCATACACTTTGCTGGTTTTTGTTGTCAGGTGATATGACAGAGACATGTGCGTGCCCTTGACATAGTGTTAAACACATTCAATACTGTGTCGATTTAATCTTAACGGTTCTGTCATCTTCCATTATTGTTGACTTCCAGGCTAATGTAACTAACATAGCACTGCTATCTACAGGAAGAATACCAGTAACAAATTTATACATGATGCTTATAAAATGAATTCTTATAATGAACATCATAAAGGTACATTCTTATAATGTACATGACAATGAACCGTAACTGTAATCTTTTGAAAGACACATCGAGTACAGACCATTACCTTTAACATCCATCAACCAGGCCACTGGAAACATGAACACGATGTACACAATATTTCCCCAGTTGTTCAACATGCCTATATTGGCATCCGACCACCCGAACACAGCCTTAGCTGACTGAGCAATAGGTCCGAAAGTGTTCCACACGGCTGCCTGAAGAAGAGCAGCAAACGAGAACACCATCAGAACATACCACCTTCGCTTGTAAGACTGAATGTTTCCCGTTGAGTCTAACAGGGCCGAGTCTTCACCTGATACCCTCGGAGATGCCATGGCGACTTTACGTTCGCTGGGTACCTTGTTATCTTTATCTGAGTTGGATAACGAAGGTAGCTGCTCATCAACATGCTCCCCATCCTCCATTTCGTTGTTCTGAGTTGGATCTGTTGTAGTGGCGGTTTCCATCTTGTCATGAGGCTTGAATCAGCTGTTGAATGACCGAGTTACTGACTGCATACTTAAGGTATCTCTAACGTTATCACATCCAAGGTGACATATCTCTAAGTGCCCAGCAGATAATTCACCTTGACATGAGGACGCCATTTACACCACGGCCTACCTTCAACAGCTTTTAATTCTCCATTAACGGAGTCGCGTTAATGATGCAGCATCCATCTTGTTTTGTGCACAGGTTTTCTTGATTTGAAGAGCGGCTTTAATAAAACCAACAGAACTGTCGGACAACGGTGTACATGCATACATGAACTGCACGTACTTTTCGAACCCGTGAAGCATTCTTGTTTTGGTCTGATACCAGTATTAATTGGGCGTTTTGAAACGCGTGATAATTAGATTACCACAACTATACTTGATACTGTCACGTGCTGGAGACAATTAGGACACATGTTAAATGTATGACGCAGCTAACAAGGATATGCCCCCATCTTCTCAAGGTGGGGTGAATCAGCTAGAGCCTGTTTCACCGCAAACATATGTTAAAACCAAACAATGATAAGAAAAGCAAGATTTATGGATGTCAACACTTCTTTATTGTGAATAACACGACGTTTCGGAGTGTATGCTTGCTCCTTCATCAGGTGAATGGTAGGGAGTATAAGGGAGAATATATACATACGTGAGGCACTTACAAAGTGAGTGAGTTAGAATTTAACGTCATCTCGGCAATATTTCAGCCATATAGTGACGAGAAATGTTTTACATAAACAATAAATTAAAATTGCTAAATAATCAGTCATCGAAGGACTGTAAAATAACTAGAGTATAACAGATGGAGTCTAAAACTAGCATGAACATGTAAAACTATTTTATTTACGAAGACAATATAATATAAAAACGGGCTATAGATCGCGCACTTACAAAGAAAACATGTTTAACAAGTTAACAATGATGAGGAAAGAATATGTAATAAAAATATGAGGGCAGTGATACACTAAAACAATGATTAAAAACAACGATAAACAAAATACAAATACGATTGCGTTCCTTGAGAGCACTAATTTATAGGACAGATGTTTAAACCCCAAATCGAATGAAGAAACTGTTAACTTGTTTTAAAAGCATGCACTTGAAAGGAAAACTGATCTCGATGAACTGATCTGGTAATGAACAGAATACTGATGACACAAGGCTAATCCCAAGATCAGTCCACCTCCATCAGGATTCACATACGAGATAGAAATACCTTATGGGCGATCGGAAAAGAGTGAACACATTTCAAATTGTTTCCAACATTGGTTAAACCAAACAGAATCAATACCTATGCATTGCATGTTGAATTTGATGCAAAAGAAAATACGTCATTTGTAATTTCAAATATTGGTCGAACAAACCTGAATTACAAATTTAGCATGTTTGTGGTTATCCAGTCATGTATAACTTTGTAAAAAATCTCGTTGGTGATGACATTGGATTTTTCAATTAAATGTCCATGTGTTACTTACAAAACATGGTAATCGATTTCAGTACTGTGCAGAAAACATAATAAAAAATATCAGGCATTAATCTTATTTCTTATTAATGGTTGTTTTCAAATATGATATTTATATGAATTATGTGGTGGATTGGTATTTTCACGCCACAAGATCAGTCCACCTCCATCAGGAGTCATATAAGAGCAAATAGTTCCAACTTTACAGACGAACAGAAAAGAGTGAAGACATTTCAAATCATTTCAAATATTGGGCGAACCAAACTGAATCCATACCATGGCATTGCATGCTGAAATAGTATTGATTTGTGTAAATGCAGCAATTTGCTAGCGCATATGTACACCTCTTTGGAATTGGAACAAGCGCTATTTTTAGCCACATCTTAACATTCAGCGTGTGTCACCAATAGCGAATAAACTAAGACAAGTGACAGAAACTGTTTCTGTATCAGCAAACTGGCAATCATCAATCGACAAATTTCCTAAACCGACATCAAGGGATCTCTTCGCGACATGATCGTGCCAGTATCGCCCTCAAGCCTGTTGATGTCATTTTATCGTCACTCAGCAGAGACTGGGGTGCAGTTTCCCTGATAAATTTGACTATTTGATATTAAATCAAACTTTGATTTATGCAATAAATCCTTCTTGAACATTTTGTAATGACATAACAACCTTGATATGTCACCGTAGAGCTCTACAAGGATAACAATATGACCTTGAGGTTAGAGTGAGTCATACATACCACATAACTAATCTAAGTCCTTGTGTGTACATATCAAGATATTTGTTGAAAGAATGAGGCCACATGTACCATATATAAGGATGATGTACTCTTACACCTATAACACAGTTAAACAATGTGCATTGAACTGGAGGTGTTATTTTGTGGCAAGACAATACCTGACCAACATATAATGGACAACACCTAAACCACGTGTTATTATCTCGCTCATGGGCGAAATATTTATGTTACTGTAATCAAATGAAAGTATGTCTGTGAGTAACATGACACAAAGAGTAACTTACTTGACTAATTTAGTGTTTTATTTAAATATCTGGCCCATGGTCAGAATATTTCCATTTGCTCAAAGCTGACGTTTCACCTCAAGTGAAGCTGATGATTCGCGGTCATATTAATAAAGAAACAGGTCGGGTAGTACATGTGTACTGTCCATATACTGCTTGAACGAACTACAAGACCATAGATTCTTTGATAGTGGGGAACATTCCTGGAGTTGTGCCCCCTTGCCCGCTTGGAGCGCTGCGGTAGTTACGGTCCAACAGCAGCTGTCACTGATACTGGCATATAGGCCTGCCTATCGGCCAAGCCTAAACATAAATCGACATTAAACCTACTTTTAACTCTGTGGTTCTTATATTACGAATATTACGGAATCTGGAAGTTGTCCCGACTGACGACTGTTGTCAAAGCACGAAGAACTAGCGTGTCTGGGCGAAAAATAATGCTAATAGAACGGCACTGCAGTTATTGTAATATTGCCGTTTCTCGGGGAATTTTTTATTGAGTAGTTGCTTTGTAAATTCGTCAAACCATTTACTCCCCATTATGTCACATTACACAGAGCATTAATGGCGTCGTAATAGTTGTTAGAACATAGGATTAGTGTACACTGAAATTAGCGTTACACAAATAACGTTAGCACTGACCTGATTACGTGCACAACATAAGTGCTTCAGTTTTCGTTCACGTGTACAACCTATTTTCATAGCCTATAACGCTTTGGGATGCAATGGAAAGAGGAAATGCTATGGCAACGGATCGTTTTCGAAAGGATTTGAAACATAAATCATTTTCATCGAATTAACGACTCGCTGACAGTGTGTTCAACAAAATATATTACACCCATTCATACGATAAATAAGCTCATAACTTCCGGTTTATAGTTTCTACATACATATTTAAGGACCGTTCATAATTAATGGGGTGGGTTTTGGTGATGATTTTTATGGAGAAGCATGTACAATGTGAATGACCTCCCTACAATTCATGCACAAAGTAAGTGACACCCCATTTGCATATGTCATATTCGAAATCAATTTCCCCCCCCCCCTAATTTTAAGCATAATCTTTTTATGTACAAATTTGCTCCCCCCTTCATTACATGTGTACAAAATTGATGACCTCTATCTTTCCAGAACAAAATAGGTGATCCCCCTTAAATTCATCATCACCTCACATCCCCAAAATATATTTAGGCCATTATTCAATCCCCAAAATGTACAGTAAATTGGCATATTGCTTGCACAATATATTTCTAAGTATCATTTGGGACCCCATCCCAATCTGTACCATTTTAAAGGCTTCCTCTTCAACACAAATAACCAGTATCTAAATGATAGATCACATTTTGAAAACACAAAAATATTATTTGAAATTGTGTTTTAGGTGTTGTCAAATAATGTAACTAAGCATGAGTGAATTACTGAAATATTATAAACACATTGAACCATTACTAGAGGTCTGAACTATCTGATGCTAGAAGCAAGGGGGTATCGGGTTCATTGTCTTTTAAGGTGGGAGCCTTTTAAATTTGATTACAAATATTTCACATTTATTATTCCAGCATGTGTGGAGGGTTTGCAAATTACATCAAGGCTCATCACAATTATAATGGACTCACAGTGTCAGTGAACACAGTGTGTATTTGGAATACTGAGCAAGGAATAATTTAGCTTTTGAATGGTAGTCTAACTGGTACAATTGAGATTCTACAATACTTACGATTATTCTCATGTGTCAATTATCATCGAACAAAAATCAAGTCTGGGTTGTCATTTCAGTTTTTATTGTTCTACATATTATATTCTGCATGTATGGACATTCATAAATATAGACATACATACAGTAAAAATGATGGTCTCCTTTGAAAAACCTTGATTAACACTTACATCAGATGCATGTAGATGTTTACCACACTGATAATCATACTGTCAATATTGCTGTACAGATAATTTAGGTGACATGCATAAACACCAAAATTGGAAGTACAACAGTGATGTCTGAATATTTTTACAGTCCTGTGTAAATGAAAATTGCTGCAGCACTCATCATAATAGTTAGTACTGGAAGCACTGCATGTTTGTCTCTGTGTTGATATACAGGTACTTTCATATTTGGCCTGTGCCCAGTCTGGAGAGAAAATGTTTGGCTCAATATTCTTGCCATCAGCGACCTCACTGGTGTTACATTCAACATCACAAGTATCCACCAGCATTAAGTGGGTCAGCTGATACAGTCCAGGGAAAGAATTGGTCATACAACATCTGTTTCTCTCTGTTGCCTCAGACGTGTTCATCCTGGAAAACATCAGTGGAGTATTACTATCCAAACTGATACAGGGTAATATTATCTCATGACTGCCAGTTATGAGAAAATGTATCATTATCAGATTTAAGTTACTATTGTAGAGAAAGACATGTCACATAATGAACATATTCATTCCGATAGGCCAAAGGTGGAAAACGTTATTCTTAACAAATGTTTCAACTATGGAGAAGCATAATTTAAATATGCTGACATTTTTTCCTTTTCTGTGTGGCATTTAGAAGTTGGTGTGATGAACAACAAGGAGAGTTGTATGGATATACAACCTCTTTAATATAATATGAGCGACATTGTGGTGTAGCTACTAACACCATTATCAATCAAGTAACTCTCCTCGTAAAAAACATTTCAGATACAAAGAAGTGTGTTCAACAAGTACACCAGACATTATTCAGACAAATTCATACCAGAGGTAAACAAGCACTAACCTGTAGCAT